CTGACTGATCACCCTATCTTTTCTCTCTTCACTGCTTCAGCTGCCTCCAGTTTGTCAACTCTGTATTAGACTGAAGAATGTGATGTAAAGGGTTTAGAAAACCGACAAGTTGATGAATGAGGCCCTTGTGTAACGTTTGGGAATCTTTATCGAGGGAATGTTTTGCCAACCAGTGGTTCCTCCTCATTTTCCACAGTTCTTCTCTATATTAGACTGAAGAGGCCACTGGCTGGCGAAACGTTTCCCCAGTAAAGATTCCCAAATGTTGCACAAGAGACAGAATCTGACCGGATGGAATTCTAGGATATAAAAAAAAATTATGTTATATGTTATATTGCAAACTCCCGACGAATAAATTATATTGCAGCAGCATCTGTTGACAACCCGGGCCTTATCTATGGTAGAAATGATATGCATACCTGGGGTATACCTGGCGTAAGTTCCCTTGGTCAACGTCCCCGCGGCCCAGTCCTTGGGATTGAATCCCATTTATTTTGGCCAACGGGGAGAAGCATAAGAGGAATGGGTGTTCGTTGGAAAAGAATGGAACATGGTACTAGAAACTAGCCAAGGCTGACCACCATGACTCACGAAATCGTAATAACACTATTGCAAGCAAAACACGAACTGGTGGGGTTTGAGCCCACGGCGAGTGAGTCGTAAAACTCCAAGCCAGTGCGTAAGCCACTGGTCCAGCTGGCTACAATAAGAGTCATCCTACCGGGTATATTTCTATACACTATAAGGTGGTTTGTATGGGCTACCACTGTGACTCACTCGACATGGTTTCAAGCCTCATCCGTTCCTTGTTTTTTTTCAAGGCTGACCACCCTGAGTCGACATCGTTGAGGCTTCAAGTCTGGAGAAAATGTGGTAATCCTGTTTAGATTTTAATTTCAGCCAAGTTGATTGGAACTCTGGGAATGTAGAGTTGAGAGACTTCCTAGATGGTGTGCAGGATTGTGTTCTAAATAAGTTTACGCAAGAAACCAGTAGAGGTAATAGCCTGCGGGACCTGCTTCAGGCAGACAAGGAGACCTTCGTAAATAATCAATACGTAGATTATAGGAAAGCTTGACAGAAGTGATCATAAATTAATAATTTTTATAAAAGTAATAATGTAGTGAAGGTCCCTGATCTTGCAAACAAGGAAACCCTCGTAAATAATCTATAGATCATAGAAAAGCTTGACAGAAGTGATAATAAATTCATAATTTTAAGCAATAGGGATAATGTAGTTGAGTTCCCAGATTTTCGCTCTGCAGATGAGTCACTGTACTCGGGGAACGCTTGGCCAGTGTACAATAAGGTACCAATGACTGTATCTTAATATTAACGAAGAGAACTGCCACCATGACATATTTCTAAATATTATACAAGCTGCCACAGAAAACATATATTCCCCACAGAGATATTAGTTCCTCCCCCCAACTAAAAAAAATTTAAATGAATGAATAGGAGGCTAAAAAAAAAAAACTTTCGTGGAGAAGAAAAGAATTTGAGTGCATCAATAGAGAGGAGGTCAATCAATGATCCAATATATTTATTTTAAGAGGTCAAAAGGGGATAGTAAAAGCTAAATAGGTTATGAAATTAAATGTGTATAGGAATCAAAGATAAAGCCGACAAGTTTCAATCAGGTACATAACATTGGATAATGTGACAAATGAGACACTTGTGTAACATTTAGGTATCTTTATTCTGGAAACGTTTCTCCAGCCAGTGGCTTCTTCAGTCCAATGCAGAGAAAGGTGGAAGATGAGAAGGAGTCTGAGGTAATCAGTCCCTCAGCCTGGAGTCAATGTATTCAATCCATCAATCAAGATTGAGGGACTGAATATCGTATCTGTTACAGGAAAAGTATCTAATGTGATTACTATCTACGAAAAAGCAAGTTATTAACTATAATAGCAGATACAAGTAGAATGTCCCTTAAAGAAGAACGAGGCACAATACCGTGACTGGAACAATACACAAATAACCCGCACATAGAGAAAAGCTTAGGACGACGTTTCGGTCTGGCTGGGACCAGTGTGACATGTAAATAGTCCAAGTCGGACCGAAACGTCGTCCTAAGCTTCTCTCTTCTATATGCGGGTTATTTGTGTATAGAATCGGTCTTGATGACCACAGAATGAGTCGCAATACTGTTCAACATGAGGCTGGTCTTACCTAACAAATTTAATGAGTCGCGGTACGGTTTGACATGAGGCTCTTATTGCCTAACAAATTTACTGATTTGAGGTGAACCAAGAGAAAAAAAATAAGATTTTTATCTAAATGGACATATACAGAGCTTTGGATATTTTATCTTTGCTAAGTTTCGCCCGCCAGGAAGCTTGATGAAATCCCTGGTGAGAAGGAATCTAGAAGCAGCATGCTCTGAGGTTCCTGAAGAAGAGAATAGGATAACTAGAGAGTAATGAATGAATTAGCGTGGACTTTCAGCGTCGCAACACTCCCCACCAAAACTATTCTTTCTTGTTATTTCTGTCAACTTACACCCCTGGAGGAGGTATTCGGCACGCACGTCCCGACTCTTCGAATTAACCCACGTCTCAGTTATTACAACAATACATCAAGGCTCCCCGCACATGCTGCCATCTCTGCTCTTTAACCTTGTTTCTGGAGCTACGACTTTGTGTCGTAAGTTCTAAGTTTTTTCTGCATATGGATC